GAATATATTTAATTTTGGCCAAACTTTTCTGAATTGAAAATTTTATCTTAAAACATGAGACTCTTGATCACACAAAGAAAGAAAAGTAACCTCAAATTATGGCATAAAAAAAAAAAAGAGTTCACATCACACTAAACTATAGCTGCTTCCATATTGGAGAAGTAGAATAATTTTCTATGTTCATGTAGTCCTATGGCTGATATTGAATTAATTGATTTCTTGCTGAGGTTTACAAGTTCAGATAAGTTTATCTCTAGCAATAATTTGCTGATTCAAACTGAAAATATTGGATTAATTTGCTATACATTAATAATATATACATTTTCCTCGTTTGATGCATGACATGTAATTTAAATTTGAATTTGAAACATAAATTTTGTATGTGTATCATACATCCAACTGTGATAATGTATACACTGTCAGTGTATATAAGATTAATTCAAAAAGTTATATATGTCAAAACAAATTGTATGGTTCGAAGATGTACATTTGAACAAGAATAATATTAAGCTTGACACAATCATTCGAATTTTTAAGCTAACAGTCCGTTGACCACATAAGATATCAATTTTGATGGTGAAATCGAGTCATACATGTCCTTAAGCTTTGGGCATGCTGAGCACCCATCAAAAAAAAAAAATTAGGATCAAAGGAAATAGAATATCAAAACAGAAAATAGACATAAAAGAAACATGGAGTTTAAGTATACAATCCATTATCAAACATGAGATTCATGGAATTAACTTTCACTGACATAATTTCAGTATGAAGCCATTTTCATGCAGATTATCTAAACTTTAAGTCCACATCCGAAATTAAATGGTTTGGACTTTTCAGCAGGATTTCCTCTTTTTTTTTTCTGTGGAAAGTTCCATGGTCACTATTAACTTATATTACAGTATTAAATTAGTGGATTTTCTGTTGAGCTCAATTTCTGACCATCACCTTCTAGAGAAAAGGAGGGTTTATGAGAAAGACGGGGCAACTGTAATAAAAACTTCAAAAAAAAAAAGAAGAAATTATGCGGATTTGATATGGTCAGCATAAAAAATTATAAACTAAACCTTCTTCACCATAGCTGATTAGATCCAAATTCAGCTGTCAATATAGGCTAGCGCCTGCGATATTTGCTGATAAATTTAAAGGTTAATTCCACTTTGCACCTTTAAATTATACATAAATTCTAATTTTAGTGCCTAAACTATAAAATGGACATTTTAATTCTTAAAATTTTAAATTTGTCTCAGTTAAGCAAAATCATTAATAGAAACTGAGACAAATTTATATTTAAGTAGGATAACTTTTATACTTTAATAACTGAAATATAAGATTTCATACTTTTAAAAATTGAAGCAGGATAGCTTTTATAATTTAAGGACTAAAGTCGGATGGTCTTAAAATGGGACACATTTTATATTTTCAGAGACTAAAATATCTCATTTTAAGTTTAGGGACCAAAGTGCAAATTCAAGTATAATAGAAGGGTGAAAAGTGAAATAAATCCTAAACTTATTTATTTAGTGAACTTTTTGTCATATATTTGCAATGGCACGTGGATTTGACATACATCTTTGGCATGATGAAGTAATCCCATCCATAATTATTGTCTTAAATAAATGAAATCAACTTTGAAGTAACAAAAACGCACGCAATCAGTGCCACATAGTTGGCGACACGTGTGAACTAAGTACACTTTTATCTGAATCATCATGCTTCAATGGGGGGAAAAATAGAGGACCATTGCATGCCCCAAGTCAAGAAGTTGCAAGGTAAACGTTGTTGACCTAATGAAGATTAGACAGCTCAATTTGACTTTTAATTATAAAAAACCAAGCCAGCTTTTATGACAATAGTGAAATATCATCTTCTCCTTTAATGACAGCTGAATCACAGAAAGAAACTAAGAAAGTACTTCAACGAAAAGTTTCAAGTATCCTTCGCTAAATTTTTTTCCTTTAGTGGTCCAGTTTAGTTCGATTTGGATTCCTAAAAGCCAATATTAAGAATCACAACCGGTAAAAACCTAATAACTCTATTGAAAAATGGAAAGAAAAAAAATTATTAACTACCAATTTCATGTTAAAGATTAAAAATTTGAGGTTCTAATGTCCATTGTCCAAGTTGACAAACGAGTAGAAGATTGCATGTATGTGTAGAGGAAGGGATGGGGCAGGTGGCTCAAGGAGAGAATGTAAGTGAGAGATTTCAAATTCAAACCTTTTCACTTATGGTATAAAAAAAAAAAAAGATTGTATGTATTGAAAGGTTTACCATGCCTTTCCTTCTAATTAATTGCACAGTATTAAGCACCATTCACCAGCCTTTTCCTCAATTGCTTTTTTTTTTTTTCTGAGTAATTGAACTTCCATTTTTCTCAAGTAAGCTTCACAAATTCCATAACATGTCAATTTAGCTCTCTAGAGATTATATATATAGTGAAAAGGGTAGAGTAAAAGATTGGAATTGGTTTTTAGGGACGTTTCATAGACGGTTTGCGGTAGCTAGTATGCTGGAAATTTGTTTAAAGTACTTGATTCATTTTAAATCAATGACAGTTATGTTTAATCGATAAATACAAACATGATGGCTCCTAAATTTCAAGTGGTGGACCACCTTTTAGCCATATAAAACTTACGTTAATTTTTCAAATGAAAAAAGTAAAAGCTTAATGACTACGATGCATCCAAAGAAAGATTTATAGGGTCCTTACCACTAATTCATTAATCTGTTTAAAACGAATATTCTATCTTCTATGCTTTCTAATTACCCATTTTTTGCTTCCCACATATCCTTAGCCTTCTCTTTGCTTTATAAAAGACATTCAAAAAAGTTAAAATAAAAAAGGAAAAAAAAAGAGATAAAAAATTGTGACTTTATTTTAGTGATAAAATATCAGATATTGATCATTTTTCACCTTCAATAAGTGAATGTGGAACAACTTTCAAATAGTTTTCGTATGCTATACTGGTTCTTAATTGCTTTATTATAAGTCTGTTAAAAGTTAGATGAATTGACGAGCCAATCAATTCATGCATATTCCAACTGAGTCCCTTCTCTAATGTAGATGAATTGATGTTATCATGAATGAGAAATATTGGACGTCAATTCCTATTATAATAAACGTTCTTTTCTCATTTGATATCTTATATTGCCGGTCGCATCCCCATCCGAGAAAACCTGGGTCACGCAATCCATAGTAATGGATCGATATCGTTAATTTTTTTAAACAAATGAAAAGATGGGATTTAAGAGATGGAACACGTAAACGATACTGTTAATTTTTAAGTAATAAATTATAAAAGGATGGAATTTAAAATACCATACTGTTCATTTTTAAGCATTGAAAGGATGGAATTTAAAAAAAGGACGGAGGAAGGGAAATTTGAATTTTGAGATTTCAACGTGATTATGAGATTTTAAATTTCATCACTGGATCAAAACCTTCTCAATATCTATATCTATATATATTGCAGAAGGGGTTTTTAGCAGAGACCCTCTCTGCTAAAAACTGTTTATACTTTGTTATTTATACTTTAAATCCTTTTTACTCCTTAATTAAAGACAAATGCTCATTCGTATGCTATTTTAATACAATGTTACATTTTTATAATTAATAAATATTTAGCCCCATACTAACCCTATAACCACCCCTACAAATGAGCTTTGCAAATTACAATCACGTTTCAAAAAAATCACAAATGTGCAACTAAATGTAAAGTTGAGGGGGTAAAGTGCAACTAAATATAAAGTTAAGGGGTTTACTATATTTAATCCTAAAAAAAATCCCAATAACGGAACAAGTAGTGGGTTATAGATTTTTGTCTAGATTTTTGTTTTTATTTTAATACATAAAAAGTAGTGGGTTATAACCAACTCTATCACCAATCAAATTTAAAATTTAAAACATTTCTACTATCTACTTCATAAACCATTTATACTTTGTTATTTATACTTTAAATCCTTTTTACTCCTTAATTAAAGACAAATGCTCATTCGTATGCTATTTTAATACAATGTTACATTTTTATAATTATGAAATATTTATTCCCAAACTAACCCCATAACCACCCCTACAAATGAGCTTTGCAAATTACAATCACGTTTCAAAAAAATCATAAATGTGCAACTAAAAGCAAAGTGCAACTGAATGTAAAGTTGATGGGGGTAAAGTGCAGCTAAATGTAAAGTTAGGGGGCTTACTCTATTTAACCCTAAAAAAATCCCAAGGACGGAACAAGTAGTGGGTTATAGATTTTTGTATTTATTTTAATACATAAAAAGTAGTGGGTTATAACCAACCCTATCACCAATCAAATTTAAAATTTAAAACTTTCCCATAATCTACTTCATAAATCGTTAAATATATTTATACTTTAAATCCTTTTTATACTATTGTATTTATTTATACTTAAAATCCTTTTTACTCCTTAATTAAAGACAAATGCTCATTCACATGCTATTTTAATACAAATTTAATTCGGAAGCATACAACATGATCAAGAAACAGCAGAACCAATTAAGACTAGATTTTGACCCCCAAAAAAATATTATGCCTAGATGCCACTGGCACGTTGCCGTAACTTGCGATGCCAATTAGGACTATTTAGCGTCCTTTTTTTGCAAGGAAATAGGGCACTGTAAAGCTTATTTAGGCAAACTTTACCTCATCACTGTACAGTGTTACATCTCAAAACAAATATACGGGTGATGGGTTCGAATCTTTCTCAAAATATGCGTCGACAATTAACATGGTTTGCAAATTGGTTGCTATCAATTGGTGAGGGAAAGGTACGAGAAATTTCACTTACAGAATTTGGGGAAGCAAATTAGATACAGACACCATCTCAATTTCTCATAAAAATGACAGTGAATCTTTTACAAAGTTAGTAAATTCTGTCTATCCTAATTTGAGAAATTCATATAATGATAGCAGTTATCTCAAAGAACGTGCTATTTTGGTTCCAGAAAATTATGATGTTGATAAATTAAATGACAGGTTGATGGCAATGCTTCTTGGTCAATTCCGTGTATACATGAGTGCTAATACTTTTTGTGCCACTGAAGGAGACATTGTTGAAAACATGAATTCTGCTGAAGTTCTGAATTCATTGAATTTTCCTGAACTTCCAAATCATCATTTGGAATTGAAAAAAGGAGCACCCATAATTCTTTTGAGAAATCTTAATCAGTCGGAGGGTCTTTGCAATGGAACTCGACTTATCATTACCAGACTGGGAGATAAAGTTATCGAAGCAGAAGTTATGACAGGATCCAATGTTGGAGATTTAGTACTAATATCTCGAATCTCTTTAACACCTCAGAATATACGCACTCCTTTCCCAATTAAAAGGAGGCAATTTCCAGTGAAAGTAGCATTTGCAATGACTATTAACAAAAGTCAAGGTCAAACATTGAGCAATGTTGGTGTTTACCTTCCTGAACGTACTTTTTCTCATGGTCAACTTTATGTTGCTCTTTTCCGTGCTACTTCTCCATTTGGATTGAAAATACTCACTATTAATAGAGATAGTGATCCATGGAACTACACAAAGAATATTGTATATCGAGAGGTTTTTGAGAATCTTTCATAAATTATACACATCATTTTATAATAAAAATTTGTCATGTATATTTTATGTATTGTAAAAAAATGACACTTTCATATTTATCTTTCACATTTACATTTTATTTCACTGTCTATGTCAACTATAGCTTTTAAATAATTAATCAGTATGTTATTTAATATTTACAGATATTCGATATACACATCTGATTTCTCTGGACCTTCAATGATGTACATGGAATGTAAATGTTAGATTATTTAGATTGATTGATATGACGATATCTGGAGTACATCAGCGTTCCAGGTGCATCAAAATGCTTTTTATTGATGATCATGTAATTATTCAAATCATATCTTACTAATTATGTTGATTTTTAATATTTACTAATTTTTGAAAAATTTATCAGAAATTTGTCATGCAAGGAATAATAAGAGGCAGTAGCATGCTTAGTATTTTTGGAGAATACCTCCATGAAGGTAAGATATATTTATTTTAGAATATACATGTAATCCCAGCATATACCAAGTACCGGATTGCACCACATCAGTACCAGTTGTCATTTGAAAATGATACAAAAAAAGTGAAAATTTTAGATGACTGTGCAATCATCCCCCGTTTCAAGTTCAATTTGGTCAAATTGAAACACATAGAACAATACATGAATAATGATCTGCAATTGATAGGTACGACCTTACAATTAATATCATTTTTATTAAATTTCTGCATTTCAAATTTTATTAATTAAAATTTTTTATTTAGTACAGATGTGATTGGCTTAGTTAGATCTGTTGGTCCATACTATAAGGCATCTGCTAATAACAAAATTGGTCGTGAGATGCTATTGGTTGACAAAAGGTTAGTTAACAAATCCCGACTTCTTTAAGATTTTTTATTTTTAGAGAATTTAGATTTGCACATAACAAAATTTTGTTATCACAGTTTGACAGTAGCTCGATTCATATTGTGGGATAAATTTTCTAATGATGATGGTGAACGGTTATATCAGTCTGCTACATAAAATAATATTTTACTAGTATGTGGTATTTGTGTACGAAATTTCAGAGGTAAATCAAATGTTTTTACTTATACTCTATATAATTTGAATAATTTTTAGCGAATACTATGCAGGACCATCACTTTTTACAATTGGAGCTAACAAATTATATATCAATCACAATTTAGATTTTGCTCGATACTTGCACAGTTGGTGAGTTACATTAGTAACACTACATCAAACTTTTAATGTTGTTTCATACTCTTACCAACATATATTTCAAAAAATTATAGGTTTGAAAATGATACATGTACTCGAAGGTTAGTTACGTGGTTGAGGTCAAGCAATTTTACAACATCACAAGTATTGTTGATAGCAAATTCAAAGAGAATATGGATATCCGAATATACAATTATGCATACGGTAAACTTATTCTATTTAATTTAATTACTGCACATTTTTTTTAAATTTATAATCATAACATATACCTTCTTTCATTCTTATTAGGTTAAATATTTTCAAATACTTACTTACATTCAGAGCATTAACATAGAAAACATGTTCTATGAGTTATGCAAAAATTGTGGACAACTATGCGAAGGTCATTTTTCAAAAATAGTGTACATGCATTGTAATGACGTGGTCGACACCGTTGTTAGGTAATTAATTTCATGTACCTTTAATTTCAATATATTTTTCTGTATTGTATATAACATTTTATTTATCAAACAGGTACAATGTTAACATACAAATTAAAGATTCCAGTGGTAACATGCATCTTAATCTATATGACAGACATGCACAATTCACATTTGGTTGTGATGCTTCTTATCTTAGAATTTCTTGATATATATTTATTTTTATAATGCTATTTATAAACTATGTAAAAAAAATACACTAATTTTGAATTTCGCACGTATTTAATTCTCAGGACAATGGTGATAGGTTGTTCAACCAATGAATCAATTCAAACAAAGATCGTGCATTTTCATTTGTAGTACGCACTTCACAAAATTCAACAGAATTAATTAAATCACCAATTTTGGCATTCGTACTAAAAGTTGATTGGTGTGAAGAGTGTTCGCATCTTCATGCAAGATTATCAAATCAAATGCATAATATTTGTAAGTATTTCATTTTAACAACATTTAATTACATTTATTTTTATTCATATATCATTCATTTTCTAATATAAATTTCAATTATTTTTTCAGGATCTATTTTCCAAAAAACGGAAGTTTTTGAATGATATACAAATTCCATCATATTTCAAACTATTGTTAGACAAATATTACATTTTAATTATGTTGGTATAATCTTTTAACCTTTTTAAATTCACCCTTTTATTTTCATTTTTTCAATAATGTCAGCACCATGCATAGTACGGGTATTCACACTAGTGTATATGTATACTAACTAACTAAAAATTGCTCAACCCTAGCGAAACTAACTAATCACTAATATGTATTACAAAAGGGGGTTTTTAGCAGAGAACCTCTCAATGACTTCCAAACTTCTCATTCTTTTTTCTAGATTTTTGTATTTATTTTAATACATAAAAAGTAGTGGGTTATAACCAATCCTATCACTAGTCCAATTTAAAATTTAAAACTTTCTCACTATCTCTTACCTCATCCTACAACCACTCCTACAAATCCTCTACTCATCATCCCACGTCTCCCCTACATTTCCTCCCACGTTTCCCACTCCAATCTATATCTATATCTATATGTATTGCAGAGGGGTTTTTAGCAGAGAGCTAAGTGACTTATCATGTCTCACCAATTTTGTTTCAGAATATACATGTAATCCCAGTAGATGCCAAGTACCGGATTGCACCACATCAGTTCCAGTTGTCATTTGAGAATGATACAAAAATAGTGAAGATTTTAGATAATTGTGCAATCATCCCCGGTTTCAAGTTCAATTTGAGACATATATAATAGTACATGGATAACGATCTGCAATTGATAGGTACGTCCTCACAATTAATATCATTTTTATTATAGTTTTACAAATCAATTGCTATTAATTAAAATTTTTTATTTATTACAGATGTAATTGGTTTAGTTATATCTGTTGGTCCATACTATCAGATATCTACTAATAACAAAATTGGTCGGGAGATATTATTGGTTGACAAAAGGTTAGTTAACAAATCTCGACATCTTTAAAACTTTTTATTTTTACAGAATTTAGATTTGCACTTATCAAAATTTTGTTAACACAGTTTGACAGTAGCTCAATTCATATTGTGGGATAAATTTGCTAATGATGATGGTGAACGGTTATATCAATCTGCCACAAAAAATAATATTTTAATAGCATGTGGTATTTGCGTACGAAATTTCAGAGGTAAATCAATTGCTTTTAGTTATATTCTATATAATTTGAATAGCTTTTGAGCGAACATAACCATACTATGCAGGATCATCACTGTGTACAATTGGAACTAGCAAATTGTATATTAATCACAATTTAGATTTTGCTCGATACCTGCGCAGTTGATGGGTTCTTCAATAACACTATACCAAACTATTAATATTGTTTCATACTCTTATTGACATGTATTTCAAAAAAATGCAGGTTTGAAAATAATACATGTGCCCGCAAGTTAGTCACGTGGCTGAGATCAAGCAATTTCACAACACCACAAGCACTGTTGATAGCAAATTCAAAGAGAATATGGATATCTGAATATACAATTATGTCTACGGTAAGCTAACTCAATTTTAATTAATTACTGAACGAATTTTTTAAAATTTATAATCATAACCTATATCTTCTTTCATTCTTATTAGGTTAAATATTTTCAAATACTTGCTTACATTCAAAACATTAACATAGAAAATATGTTCTACGAGCTATGCAAAAATTGTGGACAAGTATGTGAAGGTCATTTTTCAAAAACAGTGTATATGCATTGTAATGACGTGGTTGACACTGTTATTAGATAATTAATTTCATATATACTTAATTTCAATACATTTTTCTGTAATTGTATATAATATTTTATTTGTCAAACAGGTACAATGTTAACATACAAATCAGAGATTCCAGTGGTAACATGCATCTTAATCTACAAGACAGACATGCACGATTCGTATTTGGTTGTAATATTTCTTATCTCAGAGAATTAAAAAGGAAGGTAGAATTTCTTAATATATATTTATTTTTTATAGTACTATTCATAAATTATGTAAAAAAAAAATACACTAATTTCGTACGTTCTTAATTTCGTACATCTTCCGAAAAAAGACAATTCTTGAATGATATACACATTCTATCATATTTCAAGCTATTGTTAAACAGATATTACATTTTAATTTTGTTGCTACAATTTTTTCACCTTTATTTGCTCACTTTTTTTATTTTTATTTTTTTCAATAATATCAGCACCGTGCGTAGCACTGGTGTTCCCACTAGTTTATGTAGTATTTTGACTGACTAGATTTGCATGACTTGAAAATTTATCTTAAAACTTGTGCTGATCTTAAGAAGATAGAAGATCCGCCGTAGGCTACGGGGGTAAGATTAAAAAAAGAGTCCACACCATGTTAAACTATGGGTGCTACTGTATAGGAGAAAAGTAGAATGATAATTCTTTTATTTTTCTAATCCTTTGGCTGACATTGAATTAAGTGTTTCCTTACTGAGCTTCACAAGTCAAGAAGAGTTTATTCTAGAAAGAATTAGTTCTTTACAACCGAAAAAATTTACAAATTTCAAATAAATTCTAATTTTCGAAGTTCCAAATGTGAGATTGAAAACTACTTTGTTAAAACCTTGTACTTTTGGCTCACTATCCGCGGGCCATGAGATATCAAATCCGATGGTGAAATTCAGTTATATCTTCCTTGAGCTTAGGGCGTACGCCGAGGGGTCAAACTGTCCCAGTCGATTGTGATCTATGGAGGAAGTAAACGGTTGCATTGACGATCATTCCAAATAACCTGCAACCTTTTAAATAGATTAAAAGTAGTAATTAATCATAAATAATTAGTAAAATGGATGCAATTTTATGAGAAAAATA